ATCTGATGAAAAATATTTGTTTAAGATATCTGATATATCCTAAATGACTACACAGCCAAACACAGCATACATATTCGAACTATACGCTGCTTACATCCATCATTGTGATATCAAAGAAGTGCATCGTGTCTAGAGGGCAGTCTAACTAAAAGGCATCAAGAAATGATGTCAAGTTTTGCACGTTATCCTTACAGAATAGTATTATATCCATCCAATTATAATCCTGAATTTTTTTATGATAATTTGCGTTTAATGATGATAATATTAACTTACCAGTAGTATGGAAAGTACGTCAGCCATGCCAGTGACGTTGTAAATAATAAATGCTGCCAATTACTGCGAAATAACAGCGCTAGTACTGATAAAGTGATGTAGCCAACGGCATGGAAACAGCTAAAGAACGTTATCGCCATGGCTCGATGCTGTGATGTAACAAGCTCTATACCTAAAAACAGGGAAAATAAAATGTTAAATTTATTGGTGACATACTGAACTTCCTGTAAGCATTTGTTTGTCAATAATAACAAATGGTTACACTGATTGCGACAAATTATGTTGCTTTCACCACCAAAGGTGGAGATTAATTCAAATTATGAATAAAAAGCACTGCAACAAGTTATAAATCACTGATAATCAGATTTAAAGATTTATATGATGTCATAAATTTTCAATATCACACAATTTTTTTTTTTTTTTAAATTCTGTAAATTTTTTGAGTCAAAACTATTAATTGAATGAAATTTTGTCTAGTTGGCTCTAAAATTAGGGTTTATTTCCAAAAATATTGAAGAATATAAGAAAAAGTTCAGAAAAATTTGGCTGAGAAAGTCTGGTGGTGAAAATGTTAAAGCGAGGGAGTCGTAACCTGCGAATGCGTCTGATGGCCATAGCGTGTCATTGTTTACAAACAAGCGGCTACCTATAAGCCTTTGCGTTTTTTGCGCGTGTTGTTATCGTTTGGGACTCAATTCCCGCACGTGACGACCCTCTCGCTTTAAACTAATCAACACAAATTAGATGACATTGAATATTGATAAATTGCACACACACAGTCTTGTTCATATGTCCATGCATTGACCTCAAGCACTGCCTCGTTATCGTTTTATGACCTGGCTGCATGTGGGAGTGTTTAACCAATGAGAATGCAACATTTCAATAATTTGCGAGGAATTAAAAAAAAAATCTTCTTCACCCACAGCCGGAAATAACTTAACAGCGATAAAACAGGTAATCATTGTATGTTATAGTAGTGTATATCAATTTGCTACATAAATCTGATAAATTCATCTGTCTGTTAAGTGTCTGAATAAGCCGGAAATTTGGTGAAAAGATACTACCATTAGCGGCGACTAATAGTAGTTCATCATTTAGTTGGAGCTACCAGATATATTATCTATTCTGTACAAAAGTTGGCATAATTTGACAATAGTCATGTCATCAATAATCAGAGAGAAAATAGATCTAATCCTCTTACCTATCACCATGGCAATAAGATAGATACCACTGTGTGTAAATCCTAAAGCGAACTGTCCAATCATGTAAAATATGGGACCAGTAGAAAATGTTGTAATAAACCCAATCACGAAAGTACAGAGTAGTGACGTGAAGAAGACATGTTTTCTCCCAAGACTGTCAAGAAAAAATTGAAGTAATATTAGGAAATACTAAGTAATTTGAGTCGGTGTTCCAGAATAAGCAACTTGTAAAAGTAAACATCGCCCTCATTGCCCATAGTGACTGAAATTCGTCAATCTATATCATGATCATGGCAAAACTATTTGCATATACTGATGGTATTTTCATATTACAGATATTATCTATCCATATATCACTGATATTTCACATATCAGCCTCAACCTGAAAATAAATATTTATTCTAGCGATGGGGTGATCTTGTCGTAGCGGAGACTCTATACAAATAACATAGTGGATGGCAATGTTTTCAACAGCTGCAGTTTGGTAACCATTAACAGTGCGTTACCATCCAGTACTGGTACTCTATTCCACTATTCATTAAAATGCCTTACATGTCAGACAGTTGACCCAATATGACAGAGCCGACACACTTTCCAAGAGGAACCATCATCAACGCTAATTCATGTAACCATGCTCGTCCACATACCAAATCGAACTGAAATAAATGTATATAATTATCAAAACAGGCAACGATAAAT